AAGAAGAAGAAGAAGAAGAAGAAGAAGAAGAAGAAGAAGAAGAAGAATTCAATAGAACAGCATGCCTCCTGGAGTTTTGGATGCTCCATCATTGGTGGTTTTCAAGAAAAGATTGGGCAACCAGTCATCTGGGATGGTATACGCCTTGAGCAGGGGGTTGGACTAGAAGACCTCCAAGTTCCCTTCCAGCCCTGTGATCCTACGAGTCTACCCATTTTAAAGGGGCAGTCAAAGAAGAGCAGGTGGTGTTTCTCCAGGCATGTGAGAAAAACGTCAAGCTGTCTTCCTGAAAGAACAACACCCAGGGCTAAAACAGTCTTGATGTTAGCACTTTTGTTCACCTCTTGGTATATTCCCCAGGTACTGTCGAAGAAATGGAGGTATCAGAACAAATCCTTGTCGACTCCGGCCTTCCCACTTCTATCTGTGTCACCAGTTGTTGAGGATCAGTTGTAGTGCCAGGGGAAGATGTGAGTGATGGGATCCCTGCAAGAAATCTTGACTATCTGCAAAAACGCCACCGCCATGTTTCTTCCTAGGAAAAGCTGATATGATGAGTTTTACTAGAACTCCTGATCGCTGATGGAAGGAGAGGAAGATCTGAGCTTGCGGGGGAAACTGCGCTATCTCTGGAGTCCAGAGGACCAAGCAACCCTGCCCTTCACGGCTTAATTTACAGCAGGGGTATCCAACCTTGGCAACTTTAAGACGCGTGGATTTCAACTCCCAGAATTCCCCAGCCAGCGTGGAGTTGAAGCCCACAAGTTTGCCTAGGTTGGACGCACCCCTACTTTACTGCTTGAGTCCAGGGAAGGGATTTTGCCAGCCCAAGGTCTGCTAGATCCAAAGTTGCCTCCGTTCTGGATGAGGACATCTCAAATCAAGGGCCAAGGCAAGAAGAGAAAGCAACCCTGAAGCTGGACATGGTTAGCAATTCCAATTCTTCTTCACCCCAACAGGCCAAACACAAATGCAGCAGAAGGAAACGGGGCTCATAATAGACCATCACCCCAAAGAAGGTGTTGCCCCAAATAAAGGGAGAGATGAGATGACGTTTAACTATTTGCTGGTCAGTTGTATGTTCTTCGGCTCTCTTTAAGACAGGAGCAGGGGCCTCCACCATGAAATCATGACAATCCAGCATGAAGGATGCAAAGTGGGGAGATTGTCTTGTGGTGGCATCCTGCAGACTTCCTTATTTGGGTGATATCTCAGTTTGCATTCAATCCACAGTTTTTGGAATTCAATAGCACGCAATTTTGACGATAGGATGATGATCCTATACAGAAGAGACCCAGTGTGCCCCAGCCCCAGAGCAAGGTAACTTTTCCTTCTTCTATCCTTCAATCATCATGAAATGACACTCCGGAATCCAAGAAGCCTGGGGCCATATTACACCAAAGACCACCTGTCTCCTGGGGCACCAGAGAGAAAAAACTTCAGTAAGGTTTTTCCAAGATGGGGGGGGGGGGAGGCTTCTTTGATCTGCCACTGGCGAGGAAGGCAGCTAATAACTGGGAGGAACTCGCATTTCAGGTGGTGCAGATAATCTCATCTAATCTCCTGCTCAAAATAGGCCAATGTCAAGTAAAGCTGGGATTAGATGTCCGGCTATTGTTGACGTATCGGACACGGTCTCTCTTCCATGGAATGAGAAGCTGCAGGAGTTTGTACTTAAGAACACCCCCTCTCCGCTCTCTAGGGAAGTCTCTCATCCTTTTGTTTTGTTCCAAAGT